ATGTTTTAACTTCGTGTCGTTAGATTTGACATATTGCAGACATGTCTGAGAGAAAAATAAATTTTCTAATAACTCCGCGTACGGCAGATCATCTCTTATTTGAATCACTATTTTTGGACTATTTTAATATTCAGTATATCATTATATTTGAATTGTCAATCACGGAGTATTTATAACATTTTTAGACGTATGACAGTTAGTTAAAAGTGTTTTAGAGAGAAAGAAATTCTCTTTCTTTTTTCCTTTCTACTTTCTCAATTATAAATTAACATATTTATTCGAAATAATTGTTATCATTCTTTGCAACATTATTGTAAAAATTGTTCTGATATTAAAACTATCAAAACGATTTGTTTGTAGTTTTTAGTTGAGTCTTGAATAGGTGACAGTAATTTGAATTTCCATATTCATGACAGAAATTCTTTATAAATAAAATAAATTATTAATAGAAAGCGTATAACATACGTATTTTTAATTATGATCATAACTATGATCATACTAATAAAACTATTCGAGAATTGGAGAGAAATATTTGATCTGTCTTTTCTCTTTATATGTATAATAATTTTTTGTACTTTTCACTGCTATTTACATTGAATTATACGTAGAATACATATTTTGCACGATTAGCGCTAATTTAAACAATTTTTCAAGGAGAAATAGAAATTTATTTAATAAAAATTAAATAAAATTTAATTGAAATTAATTTTAATTAATTATTAATGAATAATTTAAGTTTATCCAATAAAAGTTAAAGCATAAATTGATTCGATTCAATTAATTTTTTGAGTTTCCATATCTTGCAAAAAATCGCCAAGAAAAAAGAAAGATAAATAGACGTGCATTTATGGAAAATTTGATGATACAATAATGCATAACATACACATAATATGCACAAGATATATATAAAATATATATATATATATATATATATATAATGTAGCATAGTATAGCTATAATATTTAACAGATGAATCAAACCTCTAATTATGCCTTATCTTTTTAGATTATCTTTCCAGAAATATAAATAATTGCATAAAACCCCAATGACAATTAAAATTATTGAAAACGCAAAAGATGTTGACGTGATTTCTATTTTAATACTTTCCGTAAACGAAGAGAACAAAGCCCAATAGCACATTTGTGTCCTTGACATTTTTGCATGCAGTGTTTTATCGATTAAAGTAGAAGTACTCGTAATCAAATCGTATTTTGAACTTTCGAACATGCAGATAATTAGTCACGTGTATCAACTCGTGATGAAACCATTTTTAAAATTCCAATACGCCAATCGTAAATAATATCATCCCCGAATAATTCTATAATTCCGTGTCTATAAAAGATAATACTTGTCTATTCCAATACTCATTCAAATATATCATGAATGACGTCATCTTCGAATAATTCCGTAAAAGAGTTACGTATTTACAGAATTAAATGATATCAATTAAAGTAAAAGACGAAAAATAAAAACGCAGAGGAAATAGGAAATAAAACATGAAAGAGTTACATAAGTAAACTTGTACATTATTCAAGATCAAATTAGGGATGTTCAAAATTTCTTCCAAACATAAATAACATTCCAAAAAAAATTTTTTTTTTAATTAACTACAATTCTGCTTCGTATAATGTGCTGTATGTAATTTATATACTAAAGACGTATTAAATGAAATATAAATGAATTCGAAAATATGTACACTGTCGTACATATGTATAAACATTTGGTAAATCTAGATTACATAAAATACAATTGAGAATGAATCTTTTTAAATCTTAATTTGTAAAAGAATAGCTAATATCGATCAAGATGAATGAAAAGGAAATAATTGAAGATAACTAAATTAATTTTGCAGAGACAACCTAATTAAATAATTTTAAGTACGTCCGTTCAATGTTGAGATATTTGAAGGACTGAGATATATCTTTAGTCATATTCAAAAAGTTCACATAAATTATACGCAGTTATTTATTAGAATATGGAATTTGAATGATAGGTGTACATTTATTGTTTGAGACTAAATTTAACAGAATACTTGATCTCAGTTGAAGAACATTCGAAATTAACAGTACAGGGACATTCATGGAAATTATGGGAACAAAACAAAGATATTAATCTTTAGACGGTATTGCATTAGGCACCCAATTATTTATGTCCGATTGCAATGATCGTAAATCGTGCATGCATCGATCTTATGTAACTATAGAATTTACAACAATTGAAACGTTCAGAAGTCATATATAAATTAAAAAATAGAGGAAAGTATATAGAGGAAATAATTGGGCGTCAATCCATAAAAAATTCCTAATTGATTGATGCTCATGGTTAAAAAAATTGATCAGCGATCAATTGATAGAATTAATAACGATCGTTAATCAATGAAAACTTGTCATCGTAAAATAAACGGTTGATTTAACCAATTGATGGAATTAATCATTATAATCGCCGATCGAAGACATTGATTATCAATTATAAATTATTGTCTTTCAAATAGAATTTGATTGAAATTTCAGTTCAAATGAAATTCTATTTAAAATTGTTCCTACAAACATTTATCATTTTATTAAATTTGGAAATTATAAAATAGAGAGTGAGGAAGCTATGGTAGAAATATATTTTAAATTTATTTTAGATATGTTTATTTCTAGTATGCAATTTCACGACAAAAAGAATTGCAGCGGTTAATTGTTGTTTAATTATGCAATTAAAAGATTGAAATTAATAGATACTTGATTATTATTAATAATTAATGATTAAAGAAGGAATTTAATCGTTTAATTGAATATTCCCTCCCCTCCCCCCCAAAAAAGTATAGAACACAAAAAAGCATTGGATCTAGTCTAGTTAGTCAGTGGTATCATAAATTAATAAAAAAAATATGGTTTACTCTTTTTTAATTAATATTACGAGCTTTAATAAATATAATGATATATATAAAATGAGTACTTGCCTTAATGACCTTTTTAAGTAGAATTTGACAACTGAAACTCTGATTTACTACTATTTTATGTTTTTCTATTTTCTTTTACTATCGACG